GAAGGAATTTAGAATTCTAGAAGACTGCGTATTAGAAGTCCTTTTATTTTGTACTGATGTCTACTATCGTGACAATTTTCTAGAAAGGGGTTCAGAAGTTGAACGAGAAGGAATAACTGGTATTTTACTTGGGATATAACTCTAATTCCTAAAACTCTACGCTGAATATGAGTATATTGGACGGTATGCTCATGGCAAAATAGGGCCAATCAATCCATGGAAACAATTCTTGTGGGACTGGGCTTTTTTTTTCACGTGTGGCCTAAACATTTGGAAGGCCATGTTTAAATAATATTCAAAGTGGAGTAATGGGTTGTTTGAGATGATAAATATCACATGTAAAATATGTTGACCCTATTAATCTCATGAGCCCATAACTTTATATCATGTGCTAAAAGCCAAAAAAAAAAAAAAAAAGTCGTGACTTATTCACTCCAAGACACGTCGTCCGTGAACAAGTCTCGAGGGGGCATTTGTAGGCAAGTAAATTTTGAGCCAATTAAATGGCGACAAATGTTAAATTCCATGTCAAAATCAATTTAATAATTTTCTATTTTATTTGGTAAATTAATCAAATTTAATTCCTAAATTAAAATAGTTAATTAGTTGATTATTTAATATATATTGCTGGCCAATTAAAGAATGCCACATATATATATTTTGAAGGCCAACTAAAGAATGCCACATGTCATTTTCTTGGAGAGTAAAATAAATAATTATTTCTTTTAATAATTATTAAAGAGATAATTAAGTGGAAATTCATGGACCAATCAAATTGAAGTCCTCTTTTTCAAGACTCTCTCTCCTAATTATCTCTTTAAATAATTATTAAGAGATAAATATTGAAAATTATGGACCAATCAAATTAAAGTCTTCTTTTCCAAAACTCTCTCTCCCAACACCTATAAATAGGGCTCTCCCTAAGGTGAAAAAAAAAACAGAATTCATATTCAAGTTCCAAGTTCAAGAGCTCTAGAGAATTCTCTCCACGAAATTCAAGTGTTCTTGAAGATCCAAAAGCGTTCTTGAAGATCCGAAGGAAGATTCAAGCGCGTTCAAGCCCAAAACCGACGTTCAATCCGGAAACAAGCTGCCAAGCCTCCGAATTGCGTTATTAAAGTCAAAGTGTTTTGAAGATTCAAAGGCATTCTTGAAGACGCGAAGGAAGATTCAAGCACGTTCAAGCCCGAAACTGACGTTCAATCCGGAAACAAGCTGTCAAGCCTCCGAATTACGTTATTAAAGTCAAAACCGGCGTAAAGAAGATCAAAATCAACTCTGCGGCGAAGACCAAGGATTCGTGTTCTTCACGTTCTTAGGAAATCACGATGTTCGATTCGAGATCAAGCTATCAAGCCCTCGAAGAAACGTTATTTAAATCCATATTCAAGACTGACGGAGATCAAACTGAAGATTAGTCTCCAAAAGTCTCAAGTCTATTTGAAGATCGCTCTTGAAGAAATTAATCAGAGGAATAATAGAGATTTGTAATCCACTATATTTCATTTGATCCGTTGAAAATCCATTTGCACGAATTTCTCGTGTTTATTAATTCAATAATACGAAATTTTGCGTTACAAGGAGTACGACTAACATTAAAATTAGTTGTTGAAAACTGGTACCAAGTTCTGCTGTAAGTTTTTCAATAGATTGTAATTGAAAAAGAACCAAATAGCCAGTCATCGAAATCTAAAGCTACTACAAAAGGCCCAGATTTTTTCCACACCTCTTTAATTCAAAAATAGAATCTAGAAACTGAAATTGAGACAAAATTTTGTTTCTAGATGGGTTCACTCGATGAGTGAACTACGTGCTCTGAACACTTATTGCACGTTATAGAAACAAAAGTTTCTAATTTCTGATCATTTCAATGATTTGGCTATTTACCCACTAATTTAACGACATTCGGTTTAGTATGACTGAACCGGAGGAAATAGAATTGAACTGCATCAAATTAAATTTGAATTAAAGAACAACCAACAACTATCTAAAAATTTCTAGCGTACTGTTATTTTGATACTTCGTTAACTGCAAACACCCTTGGGCGTGTATGCCACCACAAAAGATACAGAATGCCGCCTAAACGGATGAAATTTCAGTCCCAGTTTTGCATAAAGGGACAAACTGATTCTTAAAAATTATTGCACTGCTAAATATAGAGATACCCTTCATTAAAATGCACTCAAAATTAAATTGAGAAAACCCACCTGACTCTTTACCATAAAACCTCGAAAATGACATCCAAAATGTCATGAAAGCATAAAAGAAAATTGAAACTCAACAAATGGCAGGGCTTTTAACAAAATTCTTTCTACTATATACGCACAGAATGTAAACTACCCTTGCCTCTCAATCACATCAAATTGCATCAAATTGGCAAACGTGTTAAAAGAGCAACCGACAATAAATATGGCTCGGTATAAGAGTCGTAATATGAATACAGTACAAAGTTTGAACTTTAATTCTAGGGATTGCAGAAAATGAAAATAACTTCCATACACAGCAACCCAATAAACTACTGCATTTGTAAGCATCAATCTCATTAGTCTGGTAATAACTAAATGTGAAAATAAATATGAAAGAATTTAAACCAAGATTCAAAGACTAGTGTTCATCTGGTGCTTTATAGAGATCAATACCATTGCCCTGTAATTTATACTAAAAGAGCATCAGAATCATGCTTACCTTGTTCAGTCAGAACAGGCATGATGTTATACGTTGTTGTGTAACAAATATAATCAATTAATATATTATATATTAAATTTTATATGTAAAAATATAATCAATTAAATATTTAAATACTTAAAGTATTCGTAAATATTTTATAAATATCCATTATACTTAAAACCTATGAGATTAAGCATATATGAAATATATTATATAATATTTTACATGACATAGAAAGTGGATATAAGAAACACAAATAATATACTACAAACATATTATTGCCTCAAAATAGTAATCACAAAATTTGTTTAACTTTTTTTCTATAGAGAAGAAATATAATTTATATACTACATATATATCCATTACCTCAAATGTAATAAATAAATTTCCTAAGCCCATTAATCAACTCATTGTAGAATAGTATTTTTTTTTTTTCTTAAATATTGTACTCTTAGTAAACATAAAAAGTAGATCAATTTTTTAGAAGTCCATTAAAAGCAATTTGATCAGCTTTTTTTACCTGCAACAATTATTACTTTAAGACCCACTAACGCAACTGCCAGTAATTTGAATTTCTTCTGAACAATGAAATCCCATATCGGAACTACTACGTAAAGATTTCGGCTATTTAATTCACTCACCAATCATATCTACAAAAAGCAATAGACGCGACCGCTGAGATGCTCCAATTCGGAATGGTTTGCCGGTTTTGTCGGTATTTAACCGGTTCAAGCGGCTCTTGACTGGTTTTGGGCCCCAGCGGGTCAATACCTCTAACTAGACCGGTCCCGGTCGAACCGGTCGGTCCAGTCCGGCTTTCAGAACACTGATATTTACACGTCTGGGAGAGAGCGACCTGCACCGTACCTAAACAAGTCCATAGCCGGTCGAACTCTCCCTTTATATACTTTAAATTTCCCCCTTTTTGATTATTGTTAAATTCGTTTCTTTTTTCTTTTATTTTTTTATTTTTTGCATCTAATTGAAGATTTGATTAGTTATGCACTTCACTTTCCATGAACAAAACACAATTCTATCAGTTTCATTTACAGCTCTCTTCCTAAAACCTATGTTTAGTTCTTGATCAATAAGTGAGTGAAAAACAACAATCAAACACAAATTATTAAAAAAAAAAAAAAAAAGGTTCTTTCATCGTTATTTTATATGAGATTTTTCTTGATCTTCCATCTGTCATCGAATTCGAATGTCTTGTTTGTGTCCCTTATGATCACTTCCCAACTGTTGGATCCGTGTGCAAGAGTTGAAATCTTGAGACTCAACTGTCGAAGTTTATGAACCAACCGAAAGTTGGCTTTACCAGAAATGTCATTGTCCTATCTCAAGCCCAGGGTTAAGTTGGAGCAATTCAAATTAGATTAAATTTAATCCAATGCACCCTTTTCAATCTAATTCAATTCAAAATACTCTGCTGCCATTAACTTGTTCAAAATACTCGGCTGCCATTAACTCGGCTGCCATTAACTTGTACACTTGAAAACTTTTCAATGCCGTTTTTGAGGACATTCCAAGTGCGCCGATTTCTTTCGATTCTACTAGCCTATTTAATACAAAAACAGAAACATATTTAATCCAAATAACAAAAACAGGACGCAAAATATAATCAAATCAATAAATTACCAGTCTAGTTCAAAAATTTATTGAAAACTGAAGTACGAATTATTATATTAACAAAAAGACAACAAGTACAGATATTGATTACATCAACACCCTTGCAACATTTTGGTGTAACCAGAAAACCATCAAACAAAGCAAAAGAACAAAGAGGACGAGCTACCGCATCACCATCCTTCTCCAATAACCTGGGTCCTGGCCGTACAAGGCAGGCGGCTATGAAATTCTTCCATATCCTCCTTATGGAGCATTTGGAAGCCCTCACTTCCGAGGTGCCAAACTTAAAAACAGAGAAGAGAAGCACGCATAAGAAAATAAATATAGAGACCAAACAGGCACTCAGGCAAGAAAGTAAATATAGAGACTAACAGCAGGCAGGAGATTTAAAACCATACCACTAACAACATCCCCATAATGAGGAACCCGATATGCAGCAATGGAAATAGCCATTTTGGCAAGGTTTGCAGCATCGGGTATAGACATTCCAGACTCTATGAATCTGTGCTTCCTACCAAAAAATAAAAATAAAAATAAAAATCATAAAGTAGTTTGATTTCAAAAAAGCGACAGGAAAAATAGCACCCAACACAATGTTAATGAATTATAACTTACTACAAGAAAAACCAGAAACGAGCACATAATGTAAACGAATCACATGGGAACGCATATAAGAGATGGGAGCATACTGTTTCACAAAGAATGATACATATGAACCAGATCCAGTAGCAAGTACATCATTTTTAGTAATTACCCCATCACCATTCACCTTATACAGAGCACGCTCCTGGACACAGTTAAGAGAGAGTTAAGAGACTAGGGTATGAAAGGTTCTATTTCAGAATATTAAGAAAAAAAAAATTAATAATAAACATTACAGAAAGAAAGAAGTACCGATTCGTTCCACACGGCAATAAGTATTCCTACTGACGAATAGTACTCTTTCTCAGCTGAAATAGTGCTAGCCAGCCAGTCCAACAGATCCTGAACCAAAGGTACGTGTCGAGCCTGCAAAACAATCCTTTCTTAGTTTTCATTTCTTAATATTTTTTTTTATTTTTTTATAGATGGAAGTGTCAAGATGCCTTTCTTAGTTTGCACCATAAAATAATAGAATACAAAACAGGGGCTCTTAATGTAAATTGTAAACTTATAAGTACCCGATGTTGCAGAGATGTGATC